CCTGCCCACATTCCATCCCACCACCCTCGCTTCCCCAACAATGAAGGTAACCCTCATCCTGAATCTTGTGTCCACAAACTCCTTGCTTTCTTTTTTGTATAGTTTTATTAAACCTATATGTAATCTGTTAAAGTATATATATTTAGTTATTTAAAACAAAATAGATAGTATCATGCTCTGTGCATGTACTCTTTTGGGGAACTGACATGCTTGTTAACATGTTTCTAGCTGTACATATTGCTCTAAGAGATTATGTGTCTTAGTATATGTAAACACTCAACCCTAATAATGCTAAACCTTTTTCCTCCCAACGTGGTTATACCAATTTGCACTGCCACCAGCAATGTAGAAGAAATACTCTATATTCACAGCTACATTTTTTGCCAACTGAATGTTATAAAATGGTATCTCACATTGTGACTTTTAATATCTCTTCATATGTTTACTGATCATGTATCCCCTTTTACTTGATTTGTGTATGTAGAGTTTCATATATTATCCCTGTGAATAACCAGTTTCATTCATTGAATAGTCTTTCTCACTGAAAGACATATCTCTGTCAGATATCAAAGAAATGTATGTGTGTAGGTCTCTTTCTGAACTCTCTCTTCCATTGTTCATTCTGCCTAGTCCTAAGCCAATAATACCACATATCTTAATTCCTACACAATAATAAGCCCCTCTTCCTGCTTTTCTGCCTCAAAAGTGTCTTGGCTATGCATCTTATCAAATACCATGAAAAAACTTATTGAAATTTTCACTGGAATTTAACTGAATCTACAAGTCAATTTAAGGAAAACTGGTATCTTCATAATATTGTCTTCCTGTCCATGAACATGATATATCTGTTTACTTAGATCTTACTAATTTTTTGTGCATGGAGGTCTTGAATATTTTTGTCAGATTTATTCCTAGACATAAATGTGACATTCTCTGACTCTATTATAAATGTCCTAGTTAATTTCTAGATGTTTACTTATGGCATATAGAAATGCAACTGATTTTTGTATATTAATCTTATTTTCAAGTATCTTGCTAAATGATTTCTAATAATTTATACTTTGGGGGGGTTTCAAATAAAAAATCTTACTATTTGAAAATAATATTTTATTTTCTCCTTTCCAAGTCTTTTGCTTCCATAATTAATTTATTTTTGTCTTCATGCGCTTATGGAACTTTCCATAAAATATTGAATGTAAGTGGCACTAATGAACATCCTTCTCTAGTTCTGAATTTTTTTAACGATGCAATGACTTTATTAATCCTTGTTTTAAAACTTTATGTTCTGGCTTCTTTGGCTTAATGAACTGCAAATAAATAACTGTATAAACAATAATTTAAAAAGCAGCAGTGTCCAAGAGCCTCAAAATTTTAAATATTACAGGTTTCGATATTTCACTATATCCTAAACAAAATTTTTTAGGAGTCAAAATTCTTGAAGTTTCGTTTTTTTTTTTTTTTTTAAAGAAGTGGTCAATTCCCTTTGCTTCACTGTTGGAAGCCTCATCAAAATTCTGAACAAGATCACCCTCCTCCCCAATAGCAAGTGGAGCTTTTCCATCCAGCTTATGCCAGGATCTTGAAAGCTTGCTGACACCAAGCTGGTCTAAGATTGGGGTGACCTTTCTGTCAAGGGCTTTGTCTCAGCATGGCTGGTAATGGTGAAAGTGTTTGCTGCCAGAGACCTCTGAGCGTTAGGACTGTTAAGGTGGATCATCACTCCCTGGTTTGCAAATACATTTACCTATTTAAAAGTCAGAGATACTGTTTATTCCTAGTTTCTTTAAGGAGAACTGAAGATTTTTTATCATCTGTGGTAACAGATATTTGTAATATCATCTGTTACTCTATATATCATCTGAGGGTGGTTCCTTTTTATCCTCACAATTATGCCTGAAGTTTGGCAAGGTTTCTCTTGGTTTATGGTGGGTTTTTCTCATCTTAGGGTGGAAACTGGGCTTCACAGGGGCCTGGGGTTGGCACTCAAGTAGTCTCAGGCAGACCAGCTTAGACTCCAGTTCCTGATTTTAAAGAGAAATGCTTCTAACAGTCAACTATTGAGAATGTTTTAGGTTTTTTTAATTAAAAAAAAATAAGATTAAGGAGGTTCTTTCCTGTTCCTAATTTACTAATCTTTTTTAAAAACATCATAAGTATTGAATTTTATCAAATTCTCTACTGATATTTTTCTCCTTTAATCTGTTAATGTGTTTGGTTACATATATGGATTTTCTAACATGAAACCATCCTAGCATACATAAATCCAACTTGGACATGTTGTAGTATCTTTTTAATATATTGTTAAATTTCATTTACTAATATATTACTGAGAATTCTTACATGTATATCCTTGAGTGAAATGAAACTGTAATTTCTTTTCATAACATTTTTGGCACCTGGGTCATAATGGCCTCAAAGAGAGAATTCCCATCAATTTGGCCTTAAAGAAATGGAATTTTAAACAGCTTTGGAAACCCAACATACATGTAAGTTGGAGAACTTCAGAATTAGCTGCAACTTCTAACCCATTCTGATCTTCAAATTAAAAATATAGATTCTTAGGTCTCATGAAAGATTTTGGAGTTTTAGTAAGCACCTCAAATGTTACTGATAAAGATGATCCACTGACCATGCTTTGAAAAACAGCACCCTGGTATGGAGACTTCCTGGCTTCCATCTGCTCTCATGGCAATAAGAGAAAGAGTTAAGACAGGCCCAACAGGACTACATGGTGGAGCTTCCAGTGAGTGAAAGAGGGGCAGAGTTGGAAGGGCTGGAAGCCCTTGATTCCCATTAGTGTCTCTTAGTAAGAGGACCACAGTGTGCCCAGGACAGTCATATTCCAGCATAATTAGTAATCATTCCCCCTCTCACTTTAAAAATGTCCCAGTTTGGCTGTGTTTTCTCTCTCCTGTTGGAAGGCTCCATGTTAGAGTCTTCTTTTTTATGGTAAGATAGGTCTGAGACTGCCTCAGGCTTGGATGGAAGGCCTCTCCTTTCCCCATTTCAATGCCCTCTCCCAGTTCTGAAGGCTAAATAAAAAGCAGAGTTTGAGAAGGCACAGGATGGACAAAAATGTATGCCTAAGATAGGGCTAAATACCCTTGCATTTCACATCATTCAGACCATTCACCAGGTGCAGAATCTAAAAAGGAATTTGGGCCAAAGCCCTAGCTACTAATATCACAAAAATTACTTTTTCCCATAAGAGTCCATCATAGCCATGGTGAGCTGGTAGGATTTCTGAAGTGTGAACCACAGGGAAAAAAGAAAATCTTTCTAACTATCACAACTAACATATAATTTAAAAATAAATACATAAATCTTAAGTTCTACTTTTCCAATCTACTCAGGTGCCAACTGAGGAAAAAAGTAGTCTGAGAGGTACTAGTTATTTAAAATGTCTAGTTTCTAACACCAATTCTTTCATGATTCTTTTCCTTGAAGACAAGGTTTCTACCCTTCATTTGAACCAAAGTTCACTACAAGCCTCTGTATTTTCAGAAATCCAATTTACATACTAAAATTCATGACTGACTATTCCTTTTTTTTTTTTGCGGTACACGGGCCTCTCACTGTTGTGGCCTCTCCCGTTGCAGAGCACAGGCTCCGGACGCTCAGGTTCAGCGGCCATGGCTCACAGGCCCAGCCGCTCCGCGACATGTGGGATCTTCCCGGACCGGGGCACGAACCCGTGTCCCCTCATTGGCAGGCGGACTCTCAACCACTGCGCCACCAGGGAAGCCCCATGACTGACTATTCTTATCCTCCAAAGAATATAAAGCACGTATTCAACACACATTATTTCAAAGAATTGTATGTAAATGTAAACACTAGTCTTTTAAATTATATTATCAATATTAAAATAAAATATACCGGCAGTATCTTACGTAAAAGACCTATAATTTTATTCACACATGAAACAATAAATTTATGGAATAACCTGAATAATTAAAGGCATCTAAAACACTGATAGATATTTCCTATGTCTTCAGTATCTAGATTCAACAACCCTCTCTCCTCAGTTCCAACATGCTTACCATAATTGTCAACTGTTCCTTTGCCATTACTTTATTACTTTTTCCTTCTTTACCACTTCTTTACAATCACAACACCACCACCTCATCGCCACCATCACAACAATAGCAGCAACTACTTGCTGAGCACTCAGGATGTGCCAGGTGCTGCTGTGAGACCTTAATGTGAATTAACTCATTTGATCCTTACAACAGTCTTTTAAGAAAAGAAATATCCCAACTATATAGATGAGAAAACAAAAGCACAGAGAGAATAATCTAGTAAGCAGTGGCACAGGTATCTGAACCAAAGCAGCCGTCACAGCCTTCCATTAGAGTTGCCTTTCACAAATTACCCCACACCTTCAAAAATCTGCTTCCTGACTACACGGTCTCATCTCTCTCCTTTCTGAAATTCACTCAACATAATGAGGTTAGATGATCACTGTCATTAAAACATTCCTCTGCTTAATAATCTATTTTACCTAAAAATTAGTTACAAAATGTAGACCAAATGCGTACAAATCAGGTGTTCAAGATTCTTTTCATTTTGGACCCATCCTCTCTCTCTGGCCTCATTCTCTATTTAGCCCATCAGAGGAACACTAAGCTAGAAGTGATCAGGACTACATGCTTATTTTCTCACACAGCCTGGAACATAACAGGTGTCAAAAACATTTGCTACATTAATGACTAAAAGGCTTTATGGTTTTTCTCATACCTAGCTGTAGGTTACTGAAATGTTAGGGTTCATGGTGTTCACAAAGAGATTTCTTTCCTAATTCTTTTTGAATAGTAAGATGATATTGTTTAAAAATCCAAAAATTCACCCATGACGAAATAAGGCACTTCAGAACAATTAAACCAGATAGTTTTTTCTCTTCTCTTCTCTTTAGCAAAAAAGTAGCAACTGGTGGCTCTACCCAACAGTGTGATTAAAGAAATAAAAGCATTCTTAATATTACCAAGAACTTTATTACTAACCTGTTGAGGAATAATGGTATCTCTATAGCTTGGTAAAATTTTCAGGGTGACACTTCCACTAATATTTTTCAGTAATTCTTGTAATTCCTTTGGATTGTTTCCAACCTCATGGCCATTGACTTCTTTAATGATATCTCCCACATGAAGCAGACCCTGTCGATCTATCATCCCTCCGTGAAGGATTCGGGCAATTACCAGATCATTATTTTCAACCCTAAATGTTACACCCTGAAGGAAACAAGGAATGGAATTATTGATTTTAGGTTGTTAGGAAGAAATCTTAAATAGTCATGAACATGTATGAATAAGAAAATAATTCCAAAAGTAGGTAAGTGAATCATTCCTACTTTTCCCACGTTCTCTCCTGACTCAATACTCTAATCTCATTAAACCATGCGCAACTGTGATAACATATACCAGGGGTCCGTGGCCTGTTAGGAACCAGGCCGCTCAGCAGGAGATGAGTGGCGGGTGAGGGAGCAAAGTTTCATCTGCCGCTCCCCATCGCTCCCATTACCGCCTGAACCATCCCCCCCAACCCCATGGAAACACTGTCTTCCACAAAACCGGTCCCTGGTGCCCCAGCGGTTGGGGACCGCTGACATGCCATCCCTTAAAAAAGGACTTCCATGGTAAGGGTAACTGAAAATGAAACGTATCTTAGCTTGCATTCCACAGGATAAAAGGAAGCTTGAAGGAGCAAGAAAACGTATTTGTGCATTCTGATGGCCTTGTTCCCAGCTTTTCTCATTTTTCCACTTCACTGTTCTTATAGTCAGAGCCCAGAAATAAGCATGTCAACAGGAAATTGTAAACTTCATTACTTACAGAGTCCTACCAATGTTTTCAATTTTTGTTAATTTTTATTGGAGTATAGTATAGTCACTTCAATTTTTCATAACAACCTTCTTCTGTGTTTTGATACTATAATTAGCAAGCAACCTGAGTTTATTTCTTCAAAGGGTATAGGAAAAAAACAGTTATCTTTTGAAATTTTTGCTACTCGTCGGCAAACTTCTTCTCGCCTCTATTTCAGTTTAACTTTTAATTTTGGTTTAATTTTGCATGCTAAATCAAGTTGAGAGAGCATCAGCTGTGTATTTTATACACAGGCCAAAAAAGACTGATAAAACAAACATGAATGAAGTTTTTATAATGATACAAATTATGAAAGAGAAAAAAAAATGAGATAGAGTAGTGACTCAGCCACAAGTATGTCAGATTTAAGAGGGCACTGACTTATCAACTCACCAGTGGTTCCCCAGCTCTTTTGTGAATACCAAGAATACGAATGGCATCTACTGGTAATAACTGATTATTGATAGAAGAATTATTCATTTCTGGGCTTGATGGAGGTGACTCATAACACTTTGATGCCACAATATCATGGGCCTCCAAGAGTGACTAGAAGGATTCAAAACAGCCTGTGGTTATTAATTACAGATGGAATAAGTTATTAAAAATAACTTAGTTCATTATCCCAGTAGAGTACTAAAAATTTCCAAGGCACAATTATTAAATTCCCAAATATGAGTTAAATCAAGTATATACAGGATCTTTTTATGACATATAAGCATGTATCATTTTACTTATTATCAAACAATATTGCATTCCTTGTTTTAAAAGATCTGAAGAGACTGACAGTTTTGTGACTTTTTTTTAAAGCCTTATGTTTAATGGAAACTGAACCTAGATGTCCAAGTGTGATGCAATAGAGGCAATGAATTTCATTGCCAACACTGTCATCACCATCACTCAATATTTATCAATTCCTATTTGTTAGCTATCATACAAATTCAAATGGCAAGGACCGTAAGTTTTATCCTAAGCCTGTTGTTAGCAACACCACGTATTTTTCACATGCACAAAATGTCTGGATATCTTAAAAAGATATCCAGTGAATAAAAATTAGCATCTTATATCAGTGATGAGAAATTTCATATTACTAATAAAGGTATAAAATTTACATTTTTTTGGGGAAAAAAGAGCCAGTAATGGTCCTGAATATAGTACACTTTTACCTCCTACATTTACTGTATATGTGCTATCTTCATGGATGACTTTGCTCTAGCTTTCTAGGAATTTCTTATAATTTGGGGGGTTATATTTATTTTTATTTATACTGTAATTGTGTATACTCAGCTTAAACCTAAATTTAAAAAATTTTTTTGAATGGTGGGAGTGCAAATTCAAACAAAAAAAACATCAAAATAAAAGGGGGAAAATGTCAACAGGTTCAGAACAGAAGCAATCAGTATACGGGCTTAATTGGTAATTTTTGGTCATTTCATGAAAACAGTATAAGAGACTGAAGAAAAATATTCACAAATCCATATATAAGTATTATTCCTATACATGCTGGAAGTTACCCAAATCACTAATCTGGGCTGCTTAGTTTTTACCGTATATACTCTTCTTAGGCAATATTATCTACTCCTGTGACTTGAACCACTGCTTATACACTGAGAACTCCCTTGGTCCAGAACTCTCATGAGCTTCAGGTTCATATACTAAAAATCTGCCCACAACTGGCCAAAGTCATGATAATTTGACAAATCAAAACAAAACTAAGGATTGTAGAGGATTGAAACATACTGAATTAATGAAAACTCTGTAAGTCCACAATGCTATTTAAAAAACAGGACTGAAAAAATCTCCTTTGTTACCATTTGAGATTGCTATTTTAAACAATTCTTTACTTTGAAAGTTGGTAAAGAAAAGAATCTAGCATTTCCCTAACTTTTCAGTAGGAAATGCATTACAGGTTAACTAAAACAGCTCAGTTGATAAGGAAAAGCTCTACTTTATATAAGAACACCAGCTAATAAATGTAGAATGAGAGAATTTGAAAAATGTCATGTTGCAACCTCTAATGAAAATATTGATTCAGGCAAGGATTATTAATTTATGTTTGTCAGTAGGTAAATGGTTGAAAGGAAACAGCATTTGTATAATGCTAGATAGAATAATAACATACTAGATTACTTCCTAGTGGAAAGGCTTTCAAGGGTAGGATCAGGCTGTCATTGCTCTTAATCAAGGACTAATCTCAGCAACAAGAGTGATGGACCAACCAGGTATTATACGTTGTCTGATGTAGATTAATTTATGTTGTATCACCTTACTTAAGATGCATTCTAGTTCCAAATAATTAATTTGAATCATCTTTTAGGTAAAACTTCTGTTTATAAGAAATAGAAGGGATAAATAAACAACACAGCAGGAAAGCAACCAGATAAATCCAGGGAGTGGATTCTGCAGGAAAATGGCCTGGTCTCTTCCATGGGTCAACATCATAATCAAGGGAAAAAGGGATGGTCCACCCAGATGCCCCACATGGACCTAGGTTGAAAACTCATATGCACAAAGCAGCTATAAAGAATATTTTGGGGGAAATGGAGATGTGTGAATACAGAATGTGTACTACATGAGACAGAGGTCCACTGAAATGAAAAAGTGGAAATCAACAACTGAAAAAAAGGGTAAGTTACAAAATAGCTTGTGCAAAATGATTGCAATCAGTAAAGGAAAAAAATATGTATGTACATTTATGCCTAGAAAAAGTATGGAGGAATATGCACTATGGTAGTACAGTAGTGGATTGGGTAGTAAAAATGCAATGTCTTAATTTTTACTTGTTGCCATTTCATAATTTTATGTATTTATTAAACTTTATATAAATTTATGCATTAAATTTTAAATACTTATATAAAAAATATAGCGTGCTTGAAAAGCTCTACCAGATGCTTCTAAGGTATTGCAAACTTAATATGGTCTGTTACCTTAACATTAACATGTCCAAAACAGTTCTCCTAGAGTGGATGCCATCAATTGTCTGTCAGAAATCCTGTCCTTATCAACTTCCCACATTTCTCTTCTGCAGCTGTCACATGTAACCACTCACTAAGCCCTATTGATTTTGCTACTTAGAACTTGAAAATTCTCACATTTCCCACTATCTGTACTGCTGTCACAACTTCTTGCCTTGGTACAAAACCATCTGGCTCCACAATCTGACCTCTCCCTGTTTAATAACCACCACCACCCACCCACCCCCGCAATCCCAAGCCAAAGCTTCCCAATGTCCTCAGGATAAAGTCCAAATAACTTAGTATGCCTTATAAGGCCTCAATTAACTGGCCTCTTCACAAAGGTGTCTTTGACATGTGTTTGTATTTTTTGTACCTAAGATACAGATTTACGTAGGAACCATCTCACTATAAATGTACATAATTTTTGCAGTAACATTGTTAGAGAGTCACAGAAAGTCTCTGAGAAAAAGCAAAGGGGTGTTGCCATTTGATTTTTAATGCTAAGATTTGCAATGGCAAGCAGGTGACACTTTATCCCAGGACCATTTATTGAACAGTCCATTCTTTCTCCACTAAAATGTACTATCTCGGTCAAAAATCAAGTTGCCATTTGTCTGTGGATGTATTTCTGGGGTTTCTATTTCTCTAATACTGCCCCAATACCACACTGTCTTAATTACAGGTTTATAAGAAGTCTCCTCGACCTCCTTTTTTCTGAAACTGATTCTTCTTTGGTAAACTGGTAAACATGGACAAATGCTTAAATTGCATTTATTTTTTTTACCTACGGAAAGTATGCTATGTCATAGTTTCTATCATCATACAGCTCTCTTTTGTTCCAGGGTCATCAACTGCACCCCAGTCTTAGAAGCAATACTGAAAATGTATACAGCTGGTCACAAGGAGGGCTAGGAAACAGTGGTAGTGAGGAAGAAAAATGCACTATCACAGGGAGAAAAACGTCCCCAGCATGTGGTGTGATGGTGAAGCAGGGTTGTTGTTGTTTTTTTTTAATTACACAAAGAAAAATCCATTCTGATGTACTTCTGTGACAGACCCTATACATCTGTATAGTATGTGTGTCTGTTTATGTAGTCCCAGCAGAATGGGATATTAAAATATCTAAGCTGGCATTTGCAAAATATGGCCCTAAATAATCTTTAAAAAAACATCATCTTAAACTGAAACTTAACTACTAAAGGAGAATATTTGGGGAATATAGGGGACTTGGAAAGAAGAGCAATAGGGAAAGTTTACCTGGAAGTGAGGCTCCTTGAGTATACCAACCAGTTCTGCCACATTTTCATCCACATTTATTAGAGGAGTGATATCTTCAAGAATTTCGTTGACTAATTCCAAGTTATTATCACTGACAGCTTCTAGTTTTGAATCTTCTAGCCTCTCGTGAGCCTGAAAAGACAACACTATATTAATAACACACACTGTTTTGCTCCAGACCGCGGTTTTCTTCTTGATTTGTTTCCTTTTTATAAAGAAAGTTTTAAAAGATATTACTTGAAAGTTTGATTCATTGCAACCAAATCTTTCAATGAGAGGTAATATATAGATTTCAGAGTAAATGTTATCATGCAATATAATAAATCTTGGCCTCTATTCCTACCCTAAAAGTAATGGAAAACTCATTTTTATAACTAAACCATGAAAAAACTGAATAGGCCAAGAATTTTAAAAATGTATTAAATTTCCTACCTGACAGAATTTCCTAATGACTTTCTAGTCTAGACTCAAACTCTAAATGATACTGCTTATGCTTTATTAAATGATTAAGCATAATAAAAATAAAAAATAGGAATGTAATCGTTATATGGATTATCATTAAAAAATAATGAAAATCATTTTGAGAACCCCAAATGATAATGCTAAAGCTACCATTTTCCAATTTTGAAAATTCAGCAGAAAAAGGCAATTCAGGAAAGGCAAGTCTTGAACTGAGCCTTGAAGGACCATATGATCTCATTAGGGGAATGATCCCCTTATGTCTCCATATCTTAAGCTGATCTGTTTTTTTTAATCTCACAACCTTTTCCACAGAAAATGAACCATGAATCATACTGTCGCAGGAAATACGTAGTCCTAACTAAATCCTTTAATAGTGGGAGTAAAGCAGAGTTTTAAATTCAAACTTAGAATGAACACTAAGCAGTCTCTATCTTTTAAGTGTTGTTTTTCTGATAAATGGTTGCTGTCCGATTTTGAAGAACAGGTAGAGCATAACTATAAAGATTTAGTTTATAAATGAAAACATGCAAGATGACAAATCTCACACTTAACATTTTAAGATTCAATTCTGTAAGTGACGAAAAATCCAAATTTCAAGCGGCAAGAGTATCAAACTTTAACTTCTCCCTATAATACTTTAGATGTTATTTCTACCATACAGAGTAGATCCTTCAGAGTTCTAACACATCTTCTAATTTTTTTTATTTTTAAATTATATTTTATTTAAACAAAAATATCATTTCACATGTATCAATGTAAAATTGTTAATGAGCTGTCTAACAATCTTGGTTTTTGTATGTCATCTTCTAAATGATACACTTTCTAATTTTAAAAATGCATTTTTACATTTAAATGTATTTTTCCAGGTAATTCACAAGATTGAAATAAGTTTAAGTAGAAGAGAGGGGCTATACATTAGCAACATTTTAAAGAAACACCTCTGAAGAAGAAATTTTAAGTCATATGAAATAAACTGATACAGAAGAAATTGTAACTGTTATAAAACAAAGAAAAATGTCAAAAGACCAAATATAATTTAAACAGAGGAATGAGTTTCTATTAGATTTAGATAAGAAAAAAATTAAGAAGACTAGAGAATGCCACAAAGAGTGAGAATAGGTAAATTTATAATTTTCTTAAAGTGTAATACAAGCCTAATAAAGACAGGATGATGAAGACATTCAACATGTATCACGGAACGATTATCACCATTTGGAAAAAAAGTAATGTACACAAATACTTAACTCTTATAAAACAAGCTAGAATTGCTAATTGTTTTAATACAAATATTCGTTGTTAATAAATCTAATGTAGCATTGTTAACCTTGCAAATACTTTTAATACTCTTATGGTAGCATAAGAAATCTTAAAAAAAAGGAAGAAAAGAACTTTAACATTTACTGAGGGCTTTTGTTTTGTGCCAGGAACTAGTGTGTGTGTACTCAGCAAAGGTAGGTGTGTTATTATCATCTTCACCTTACAGACACAGACACTGATGATGCAAAATGAGATACAGTGATTGCTTGAGTTCACACTACTAGTAAGTGGCTAAGTCAGGTAGTCCAACATCAAGGCTTGAGCTCTTACATACTAAAGCTTATTCGACTTTTATCACTATACAGCCAGCTACTCTATCATCATCTTGCAGTTAATTATTTAATCTAAAACATTATGCATTACTCTCACTCATTTAAATGTCTGATATATGCTCTCATTGACTGCTGGTTGAGTTGTTGCTTCTTAACATGGCTCTTCCAGTCTAGATGTGTTAAGTTATACTCTTATGGTTCAAGAATACCACTCACCCTTTCAACCTTCACCTGTTTGCTCAAAGAGCTATAAAGATCACCTGTTTCTCCAGGGAACAGATAATGACTGGCTTAAAATTTTCAGGTACTAAGCCAATATAGTTTCTACAATATCCTATGTTACTTTACATATTGGTAGACTTTGATTAAATTCAAGTCTTTGGGAAAAGTAAAGGAACAGAAACGATCATTGACTTGAAAACTCTAATACACTTCCCCTCCTTTCTATGTCCACTTACCTTATTGCTCCCAAATTCGGAGAGGACAGGAGGGAATGTGGAAAGACTGATGGCAAGAGAGAAAGAGGAAGTCAAGTGGAGGGCAGAATTATGCTATAAAAACAAATATACCTGGAGGTTTTTGCACATCAAAAACCTGGTACAGGCTGGTTTTATGGTAGGAAAAAAAATCTCACTACACAATACATAAATTCTCAGAGGAAGAGAAAGTTTTTAAGTGAAACTGCAGCTATAATTATATTAATACAGAAAATTAATTTCTGAGATATAGCTGAGTTCAATCAAGATCAATTTTAGTTTTTCCAAGAAAGCAAATACAGGTCCATATTTGTTAATATGTAACTTTTTAAGTTCTAGGATAATGTGAAAGAAGTTGAGACCTTTATTCACTTTAAAGTCAGAATTTCTTTAGTAGCTCTCAAGAGGCAAGTACCAAGCTGAATTTAACTAACCAAACAAAAAAGACAAAGGAAATACTGAAAACGGACCAGAGAAACAGATATGAATCACATGCTATCTGAATAAATGGGTCTTGCTTCCTTTAAGAAAAAGCATTATTAGAAAGCTAGCAGAACTCAATAAAAATATATGTCACCTGCCACAAGTGCTTGGAAGAACATGCCATGACTGGCTTTGTAGACTTGGAGTTGATACAAATATAGCCTAAGCCCTCTTGTATGTCCAGTTCTGAGAATCCTTCACCACTGCACTTTAGAAAAATGAACTGCAGAGAAGAAAAGTTCTTTCAAAACTTCTGGGTATTTTACCCAAGCACAGTCCATCTATGCTTGCAAACAAACAAACAAAAAATTTTAACAAAAGTTATGCACTATAAGTGACAAATACCTGGTAATGATAATGGTATTGCGATTATGTGTAGTAACCTTATCTTTCTCCCTTAAAAACAAAAATATCATAAATTTTGTTTCTGTCTTCTTAGAACATGGCCAAGTATATTGTAGTTGCTCATTAAGTATTTCTTGAAAAAGCTAAGTAAATAGGAGATAAGATTGACTGTGGTCAAGAGACATCCTCTTCTTTTATTCTAGAGACTTTTGAACAAAAAAGATAAAGACAAGTTCACAAGTAACCAAAAAATAAGAATTTGAGCTGAAAGTAGAAATGAGACAGAGAGAACGGAGAATTCAATTTTTATTTTGCTTCTGCATACATGATATAAAAAAGGATGAGATCTGTTCTGTTGAAAAAAATGGATGAAATAAGTGTAACTAAATTAAAACTGAATTCTCTCATGAGTAAAGAGCTTGTCATCTAGTTAACCAAAAAAAGTTCAAATTCTTAGATTAGATAAACTATGTCTCAAGGCATTCAGGGAGCTGAGCCACTCTCAGAGATACCTGTAGAATTAGGAGACCCACACAGATGTCAAAAAACTAAAAATGGGAATCTTATACTTTTTAAAAGGAGAAAGGGCTTTTTAAAAAGCTTGGCTTTAATAGTATTCAGAGAATATATAAAAGAATGTTTTTATAATCATTGAGTGGGAAAGACATAACTATGATGCCAAATCCGGAAGCTATAATTTAAACAAACAAAAACAAGCCCAATAAAATAAATGGTATTGAACATTTAAAACTGAACATTTAAAATTTCCTGTCAAAAATCAGCAAAGTCAAAATACAAATGCCAAACTAGGGTCAAAATACTTATGAATCATATTGCACACCAAAGGTTAATTTCCATATATATATATACACACACACACACACACACAGAGAGAGGGAGGATTTCTATAAACCAGTAAGAAAAAGATCAGCAACACATTAAGAAAAAGGGGAAAAGAATATGAAAAATTCACAAAGAAGGAAATTCAAATACTTCTTAAATGTATGAAAAGATACACAACCTCCTTCATAAGAGAAGTGCAAACTAAAACTACACTGAAATACTTTTTTTTTAAATGAGATTGGCAAGGATAAAATTCTGGTAACATACCATGTTGGTGAGAATATGGCAGAAGACAGGCATTCTCGCACATTCTTTTCTGGTGGGAACACACTAGTGAGCAGTTGGACTATATCTACCAAAATTACAACAATTCTTTTAAGATTTATCCTAGAGATATACATACATATGCAAAATAACATGTAGCAAGACTGCATATTACAGCATGACTTGTAAGTGAAAAAGTCACCTAAATATCTATCAGAAGTTTGACTAAAAAATTTTTGTTATATTCATGCAATGGAATATTATGCCACTTTTACAGAGAACGAAGGTTCTCTGTAGGTACTGATATGGAATCATATGCAAAAAAAATCAGAATTTAGAACAGAAAGTATAAACCCACAGCTACTATTATATTTAGTAGTGAATAATATTATATTTAACACATGCTTTTCCCCTAAGATTGTGAACAAGATAGGGATGTCTGCTCTCATCATTCTGTTGAACATTTGTACTGAATCTTCTAGCCAGGATAATTAGTCAAGAAAAAAACAAATAATATAAAAAAGAATGTATATGTACAACTGAGTCTCTTTGCTATACAGCAGAAATCAACACAAAATTGTAAGTCAACTATACTTCAATTAAAATAAATAAAAAAGAACCAATGAAGAAAGTTTCAAAGAAAAAAAGAAAGAAATAAAAGGCATTCAGA